AATAAAAAAATAATAAAAATAATAGAGACAAATATAAAATAAGATAAAATAATTATGCACGGGATTAGTATGAATTCATTGTTAGAGATAAATTTATTATCATTATGAAAATATAATATGTGAAGACAACAAGGATAAGGACAAGGACAGTGTTATTTATTAAATGATGATTAAAGATGATACATGAAATTGAGAAAATTACAATGTTATTTATACATAGGTTCTATCTAGTTCTCTGTCTTTGAAATCCTAACTAAATGTATTACTTGAGTCTTTTGTATAGAATTATTTTCAAGTTACTTCTAAAGTGATCAATCATTTAAATTCCTTTATTTAAATTAAATCTAAGAATTAAAGGTCTGTTATATTTAGAATGTTAGAATATTTACTTCTCCATTATTTGAGATATTTTTATTTGCATGCAACTTTTCAGGATTTCCCGTGATATGTAAAATTACTATTACAGTATTAACTACACCAAAAATCAAAATGACTGACATCACATTAAGAAAAAATCAAATTAATCATGTTGCAAATTCTTAAAGTTGAATGATTAATGCCACCATTAAGAAAAAGTCAAATGATTAAACTAAAACAAGATTAGTTATGAATATAACTTACTAAAATAAACTTGTCAATTAATGATATATATTTATTTTTTATTAATTCAAACATTATATTAATATTAAGCAAGCTATACATTTAAACAATATATATGAATTGATTTATGAACTGCTAATTCAGATATCTTTTCTGAAATTGTTTTATGAATTAGAATATTTATAATTTTTGGATATTTTTTTTTGTGATAATAAATATTAATATTCTATTTAATCACATAATTTTTGCAGATATTCAGAGGTTTCACTAAATTTGCGGATAACTACACGATTATACCGCAATGATCGGCATTAATTGTAGCAAATTCAAAAAGAATTGTAAAAAAAGTTGGATGTTTTGGTATTATGAAGACCCATAGTTATCCCAAAGCACCTTCGAGAATTAGGTCTCATTGAATCAAGTTAAATAGATGTTTTATGAATTACTAAATTCACTTCAAACAAAATTCATGTGACTTCTTGACCTGCAGTCTCAAAAAAGTTTATATTCTTTGATAGACATCTCAAATTATCTTTAATTGACGATCCGTGAATGAATGAGAGAATTTTTGTGTGATCGGTGGGGCAAAAATGTAAAAAAATCACCAATCAATAATGTTTAACAAACAATAAATCACAACGTTTCTGTATTACAAACTTATTCTTTTTATGTTATATATAAAGTAAATCTCATAGATTACTGTATTAAAAT